GTCAGGATGGCTAAAATCAACAAAACAAGAAAGAAGTGTTGGTGAGGATGTGGAGAAAAAGGAGCCCTCGTGCCCTGTGGTGGGAATGCAAACTGGTGCATTTGGAGGATAGTATGGAGATTCCTCAAAAAATTAAAAATAGAACTACCCTACAATCCAGGAATCACACTGCTGGGTACTTAGACCCAAAATTCAAAAAGACTGATTCAAAGGGATATATGCATCCCTATGTTTATTGCAGCATTATTTACAAAAGCCAAACTACAGAAGCAGTCCAAGTGTCCACTGATGAAGATGTACACACATACACACAAATATTATTCAGCTGTGAAAAAGAATGAAATCTTGCCATTTGCAAGGACATGGATGGAGCTAGAGAGTATAATGCTAGGCAAAATAGGTCAGAGAAAAACAAATACCATATGCTCTCACTCATATTTGGAATTTAAGAAATAAAACCAGCAAAGAGGGAAAAATGAGAGAGAAAACCAAGAAAGAGTCTAATAGTAATAACGATAAGAGAACAACCTGATGGTTACCAGAGGGGAGAGGATGAGGGGATGGGGGAAACAGGGGATGGGGATTAAAGAGTGCACTTACGATGGAAAAAAAATAAAATGATAAAAATAAAAATAAATCTTACCCACTTAAACAGTCCACTGTAATACCATATTAAGCACAGCAGTTGTTAATGCCTACCAAAGACGGGCTGCTACAAGAACTGGAGGCACAAGGATGACCACACAATGTCTGCCCTTCAGAAACAGGGCGAACGTGCCAAGAATAGGAAGGTGTGCAAGGGGCAGTGACTGTATAGGACAAAGGGCATGATCAGCTCTTCGTTTGCATCAGTTATAGAAGGAATCACAGAGAAAGTGACTTTTAACCTGGAACTTGAAGAATGAAAGCTCACCAAGACCAGCAGAGTGAAGAAAGTTACTAACATGGACAAATGTCAGGAAAGGAACGGTCCTGGGTGAAGCTGTGATTCTGTGTCGGGAGTGAGGAGTTTGAAACTCCTCTGGGAAACAGGGAGAGGTCCAGGCAGCAGCTTGAGCAGAAGCACACAGTTCTTGGCTAGAATTCACATGGTGGGAGTCAGGCATCAGCGTATCTGTGGTCATTAAAGTCAGAGGAGTAAATACGATCGCTCACAGGGAGAAAAACAACATTTAAGGGAACGAGGCCAGTGATTATGATCTAGCAGAGAAGGACTAAGGTTGGAGAAGGGGACAGAAGAGGGGACAGAGTTTCAAAGGGGTCAGAAGATGGGTGTGAAATGTTAAAGGAAGCACCAGGCCAATGTCTGAAAACACTGGCTGGTTTGGCCAATCAGAGGTCACTGATGAACTCAAGAATACTTGCAGTGCAAATGATAGAGGCAAAAACGGAGGAGGGTACATTGAGGAATGAATGAGGGATATTAAGGAGAGACGGCACCAGACTCCTTTTTAAAGTAACTTCATTCTGAAGAGCTAGTGGTAGCTCCAGTTTTAGGATATTAGATACCTGGGCCTGTTTACAGGCCGCGGGGAAAGAGCCAGAAACAGGAAAAGCTGGACATAAAGAAAAAGGAGGGATGTGGGATTGATAAGCTCCTAGAGGGGCCTAAAGTAGGTGGATAAAAAGCCCAAGAGAAAGCAACATGGCACGGAGGCCACAGGCAGGGCAGATGGTGCTTAAGGGGCTGGTGGGGGAGGCTAGGTAGCCCAGGAAGAACTTCCGACCGATGGCTACCAATTTCCTCAGAAGAGAAACAGTCTTAGGTATTTTACAGGGTTGGAGAGAACTCTTACTAAAAGACAGGAATGGGGGGGAGGGGTGGGAGTGTAAGAGGTAAATAAAATACAGATTGTTTTATTTTTAAATTAAGAGGGGAACAAAGCCAGTTAAATTTCACCAAAACAGGAGAAAAAGAAAAAGGAAATCTCTTGCGGTTCTCTGCCTAACTCCCATGGGTTTTAATGGAGGTGCCTGTTTGATTCAAAAACATTCTTACGGCAACTTAGACAAGCTGTCACTTTCAAAGCAATTTTAACCCCACATCCATCAAAACTAATTAGTTTATCAGCAGGCCTAGCCAATTCCACAAGTTTGCTGACTGTAAAACTTAGGACTCAAGTAATATCCTTGAAGATAAATTCCTAATACATTTCCCCTACATTTCTTTTATAAACTTCTATTACCTTAGAAAGGAGGGGTGGGGCACGGGGGGGGGGGGGAACCTGATACTTTCTATCTCCCCGTAGAAACAAGTTTATGAAATCACATATACATTTAAAACTTACTCCCCTGAACAAATCATTTTATAAGTGTTAAGAGCAGAAAACAGTAAGAATACATTTTATAGCAAGATAATTTTTCAGTGGCTCTAACAGTCAAAATAGCACAATTCCAAAAATGCCTGTAATTTAAAAACTGAGTAAACTTCCTAAAATGCTAGCAGTACTAACTAGACCAGTATAATCATCTTTATGTTCCTTACAACTCTGCTACAAAGAAACCATTCCAAACCAAGGCATGACAACTTCTCCATTTAAGAATCACAACGAAGAATCCACTGCTGACTATGTAGACCTGTATTTTAGAATATCCACTACTACCTAAAACCACGTGCCTGAGGCAGGCATCCAGGTAGTCGTCAGCACGGGCTAGGAAGGCATCCAGTGTGACATCCACACGGAGCTGCAGCTTCCCTACCACCACCAGGGCCACCGTCAACTTCCCTGTCACTAGGATCACACAGGGGACTTAACTGAGGGCTTACCACATTCAGGTATTGCCCTGAACTCTGATGGCTCATTAATGAAGAAAACCAGACCTTAAACTAGGGGAACTTAGAAGTGCTGTCGTGTACAAATCAGTTACTTTCCACATCTCTTAGGAGGTCTGACTTGCCCCCTCCATTCCCAACCTCAACCAGATCCCTCACCGTATTTGCCACATTTCAGTCTGTAAGGATTCATGTGGTCATTTCTTTGCAATTCCTTATGCTGTTAAACTTGAATAGGACAAGGGTCCCATGTCCATTATGTTCCCCACTATATTCCTATATTCCTAATACCTAGCAAGGTGCCTAGAACACAGCAGGAAATCAAATGTTAAATAGATGGACAGATGAACGGACATAGATTTATTTTGTTCTCCGAGAACAAAGAAATTCTACCTCCCTACAGGAAGGCCTAAAGGCCATGTCTTTGTTATAAAGTGGTACACCTTTATTTAATAACAAAATTAATTTTTTTTAAAGATTTATTTGAGAGAGAAAGGGCAAGT